GCCTGACTTTCTGCAACCTTCTGCCTTCTGCCAGTAAAAATGGAGCTCCATTTTCAACTGCAACGGCCTCCTGAATCCCTCTGCCAGCAAAAATGGCAGCCCCCGACATGAGTGATGTTGAGCTGGCCATGCCCAACCCAGCCCCCCCCCCCGAGGTCAAACACAACCCTGGTGTGGCCCTCAATGAAATTGAGTTTGACACCCCTGCCTTAATGCATAGAAGAAAAGAAGTATATGTCAGATAAATATTCTTTTCCTTGTCTATATTTCTAAAAGTTGATCCACTCGTTGTAAAATAGATTAAAATGAAGGTATCCCAAACGGGGTACCTTTGTCTTGACACCTATCAAATTATCTTTTATAAAATCTTTATTTGGTATATTCAGATGGGCGTTGTTAAGATGTATAACTTAACCTTATAAAAATCCATTTCTCATGATCATATAGCAAAATTAATCATTATAATATATTGCAATTTTTAAAAAAGTTCCAGGGTGCCTATGGGTTTTAAAAATGTCTTTGATCTTCTTAACTGTTATGAGATATACCATATTTCTGACTTAGTTCATTTTTAAATATGTCTTTAAAATGATGAATAAAATGCCCTGGGAAAATGCTTTGGAAGGAGTGTGTGTATCTGTGTGAGAGAGTGATGTGTGTAGTAACAATAAATAAATAAAATTAACCATCAGCTTTTCCATTTGTTAGGGTGAAAGTAACCATCAATAGAAAATCAATTAAGACAATAACTTTACTAAGTCAACTCAAGTTTATAAAATGATGTATCAAATTGCACACACACATACCAATATCATTTGCAGATAGTCTTCGACTTACTTCCAAAATTTTTGTTGCTAAGTGGGACAGTTAAGTGAATCTTGCCCCATTTTACGACCTTTCTTGCCACAGTGGTTAAGTGAATCACTACATTTGTTAAGTTAGTAAGATGGTTGTTAAGTGAAGATGGCTTTCCCATTGTCAAAAGGTCACAAAAGGGGATCACCCGACCCTGGGACACTGCAATTGTCATAAATATAAGTCAATTGCCAAGTGTCTGAATTATGATCACATGATCATTCACATTTGATCCTAATGCTGCAATGGTCATGTGAAAAGCAGTCATAAGTCATAATTTTTTTTCAATGCCTTTGTAACCTCAAACAGTCCCTAAATGAACTATTGTAAGTCAAGGCAACCTGTACCTGTTTTTGAGTTTTCAAAAACTTAGCATTGGACCAAATGATTGCACCAGTGATCATGATCATGGGAAGCAAAAAGAGAAAAAAATGTCTAAGCTGCATCTATATTGCTTCATAAGCTTTATTTGGTGCAGAGCTTGTTGGTATGAAAAACTAAGGAAATTGTTGTTAGTTCTCTATTTTTGAAAGTACCAGCTGTAAAGCTAAATCTGTTTCTGTCCTCAGGCAAAACAAGCATACCAAGGTTAAAGCTGGATAACATAGTATTACAGCAAAAATGATTTTTACTGATTTGCAGATTTTTTAAAAAAAGTTCATGGTGGTCTTTATTTTTAAATAGTGAAATAAATTTTAAAAACTACACCATCAAAATAAAATAGACATTATCAGACAGTGAGTAAAAGATTAGGCATAATATAGTGAATTAAACTAAATGTGATAAAAGAATATAGTAATTAAGAGAAAAAAAACGCTACAGCTAAATGCAGTTAAGTCAATCTTTAAGTGTGTTAAAACTACACCTAGCAACATACTGTGTCATCTTTTCATTTTTAGAACACAGAGATTTTTCAAAAAATGATAATAAACTGATATCCTGGATTGATTCCTTAAAAGTTTCTTTCCAATTTTATCAAATTATCCTCTTTATTGTGCCCCAGGATTGGTAGACTAAAACTCTTCATTGGATGGTAAACGTCATGTTTTAAAAATATAGTTCAGCATCACATTGAGAAACTTAACTATAATATTATTGATGTATATAATAATTTGAAATCAAACCAAAACTATACTTGTATAAGATCAAATCATGTTCTTTTTCTTTTTTAATGCCCTTCCTGTCACCGATGAGGAGATTTTGTAGCCAATATATTCTCATTGTGCCCAGAGAGAGAAATATCTGCCTCTACCTAGGGTCGAACTCACAGCCTCCCTCAAATTTTTTAATATGTCAGCAAATCTAATATCCATTCTTTTTTTACATTTTCTGGGGCTATAATAAGCATTAAAAAATATTTTCTGATGAGTTAATTTTGTCTTTAAAACCCAAGAAGTATATTTTATGTTTCTTAACAGCTGGACACATTTATTCTCCAAAATTGGCCCATCCAATTCTTCGTACTAAAATTCAGATATATAACTTGCATTTGCTTTCTTATTCTTTCTAATTGAATTGTTGATTTATGATCAATTGGTGCATCTTTTAAGGATCTTTTATCCCTTTTTCATCTATCTGGAAAGAGTTTTAGATTCCTACTCACTTGGGGTACAACAAACCATAAACATTTGTAAGAATCTGAAAGCCAAGCAACTTATAACATGAATCATCCCTGTTTCAGAACTTGTTCAAACTATTCTTCAAATGAGTTTTGATATCAATTTTGCCAAGCTTCACAGCACAGCTTGGCAGTAAATCTCACTTTTCCAAACATTTAACTCCTGATTCAGATATAGGTAATCCTCGGCCACAACATCATTAGATTAAACTCTAACGAGAGGGGAGGGGAAGGGGGAGAGAGAAGTGAGGAAAGGTAGGTAAAAGGGGAAAAAAGAAGCATTGACTTCCGACTCTCTGTTGCAGAATAGGCCATTAAGATCAAATCACAGGTTTTTGTTTTTCCATAATGTCATTTCTATAAAGATCTATCAATCTATAAAACCCAAAGTCAAAGTTACATTCTTTTCCACACAAAATTCAGAAGGGGTTTCCATGTGGAAACGAAAGTACTTATGTTTTTTCTTTAATCAGAGTAGTCAGTTTTGCCATTTCAGCCAACTCCATCTTTGTATGAGTAAAATGTCTTTCCATTTTTGCGTATACAATAGTCTTGCTGTTGTCAACATATATAGTAACAAAGTTCCAATTTTTTCTCCAGTTCTTTTTCCATTAGTCTCAAAAGGAAAAGTTCTGGTTTCATTTCTATCTCCATTTTCAGAATTTTCTGTATTAGTGTGAATCATACTCCAAAATATTTTTGCTTTATCACATGTACACCATAAATGATAAAAAGTCCTTTATTTATATACTTCCAACATTCATTTTACATACCTTTATACGTATTAGATAGCTTATCTGGTGTTAAATACCAATGATACATCATCTTATAAAAATTATCTTTTAAATTGTAATTTAGTGTAAATTTTAAAGTCTTTTTCCACATATTTTCCCATTGTTCAAGCATCACATTATATCCAAAATTCCTTGCCCACTGGATCATGCATTTCATTTTCTATGTTCAGTTTCAATAACATTTTATGAATCTTAGCAATAATATGTTCATCATTGCCACATATTAAAAATTCATTTCATTTTTAACAAAATCAAATCCATAGCACTTTTTATCCAATTTAAACCTTTTTTTCAGTGGCTGATAGGAGTTTTCTAGGGAAAACTGTAGCCATATTATACGGATTTATGGTTTGTTCTCTGAAATGCAAAGAAGTGGGCAATTTTATACATTTCTGTTTAAATGCATAACGATTAAAGGCATTGAGTTTAAATAGTGGGCATTACCCTATTTCTAAATTATCTGAAATTAGTAATTAGACATGTCTATGTTATGGTTCTCTCTAACTTGGCAACTGTTGGGCTTTCACCTTGTCAGATTCAGTTCTTAACAGATTCTCTGTACATAAAACTGAAGTCCTATCAGAATTCTTCTTTGTTTTGTTTAGAAGAGCCAGCTGCCAGTTTGTCTAGGCAGATTAGGAATAGATTGACAGTTATTTTGCTTTGGGTATTTACCTCCTCCAATTCTTTGCAGCTCAAAGGATCATGATCCACAGTTTGAGAATCCACTCAGCAAATGATGTACAATATTTCAAACCAAAAATTATGGTTTGAAGAACTTCAGTTGTTTTTGACATGGCTGTTTACAGAGAGGGACAGATACTTTGCTTCTTGTTGATTATATAATTAGTTTCTTTTGTGAGTCCCACTCATGTTTACATACATTTTAGTTATTTTAATAATGATAGCTAAGATTAAATATAGTGACTATTTTCATTTAATTAATCTGCATAACTAATATAGAATATATGATATTATTAAGAAGAATCTAACTAGATAATTAACATCTTTTTGGTTATCCTATTGATGTATTCTCATAGTGTTCCTTCCTTGTTTATTTTATGATTCTATTATTTTACTTGTTTACATTCCTTTCATTTTGCTTTCTTTTTATTATTGGAGGCTGCCTAAAATAGTCCCATGAGATAGGTGGCAAATAAATTTAACAAATAATTAAATAAAATAAATAAATTAGCTTTCTTGGGAAATCTTTCCTAGCTGAAGGGTTATCCTGTGTCATAGGCAACTGTCCTGAAGAAAAGCTTTATTTTCTTTAGCTAAAGCTGACAATAGATTCTTTTGTATAGAGGTCCTAAGCAGAGTTGTTCATGATAGCACAAAATATATACAAAAATAATAAGTGGAGGAAGATCATTTAAACAAAAACCAACCTTAAGTAAACAAACAAACTGCCATGTTTTCAAAAACACTGTATTTGGTGCTAGTTGAGACTTAAGCATTGAACTGCTGAGAGAGAGAAAAGGGGAGGGGGGGGGGCATAGAGGTATCATGGCATTATAATACATTTTTAAAATAGCTGTTTGGCAGCTTTTGGCCTAATAGTCAAAAACAAAATAATATGAGGCAACTGAATAATATGGGACCAATCTCAATCTCTCTCTCCCCACCCTCCTCTCTCTCCTTTCTCTCTCCTCCTCTCTGTCATAAATAAAAACTTTTGGCTACCTTTTACTGAAAGTTTTCTTCTTTCCTCCCTCTCTTTATTTTAAGAAATGATGTGCGAAGTGATGCCTACGATAAACGAGGACACCCCAATGAGTCAAAGGGGGTCCCAGAGCAGCGGATCGGACTCCGATTCTCATTTTGAACAGCTAATGGTGAATATGCTGGATGAAAGAGATCGTCTTCTAGACACTCTTCGGGAGACTCAAGAAAGTTTATCTCTGGCACAGCAACGACTTCAAGATGTAATTTACGATAGAGATTCTCTTCAACGACAACTGAATTCTGCACTGCCCCAGGTATGTATATTCATTCTCCGTAATCTTAATTTATAAACATTATTTCCTCTTCCTTTAATCTTATGCTTGCACACACATATACATGCTCACATACATACAGATTCCTTAGCAATTAGAAGTACAGCGCCACAAATATCTAATCCTGTTTGCAAAAGAGGAGGCTACCTTAATGATTCAAAGAGAGATGCCTCATTCATACTAAAGTATGTTGTGAAGTAGGTATGTTTTGCACGCTCCAAGTGGATACTCCTACTCATTTTAGTAAGAAGATGGCTTGATGGATGAGATTAAGATGAAACTTGGATTTTTCCTCACCTCCAGGATTATTAGGTTCACCTTTAAAACCAAACTCCCCCCCCCCATTTTTAGTTTTGTTAACCACTAAGTTAGTCTTTGAAGTAGAGTGATGGTGCATAAATCTATCCAATAAATTAATATGCATTTACAAGGGACAGGAAGGTAAAGCAAAAAGTATAAAGTTTGATTTACCACAGAAGGGCACCTAATTAGCACAATTATGAGGGAAATACCAGAAGTAGTTAGAGCCATTCTGTCATGTTTTACAAATTACAGTATACGTGAGCAATCTGATCTATATTTGCCAATCAACAAGATGATGGCTCAGGTGCCGTACCACATATAATCTGGACTGATAGCTGAATCTGCATTTATTACTGAAAATGGAACAGCAGCAGTATAACTACATGAGAAAGCTGCAGGCAAGGCATGTTATACAACTTTCTTCTTCACTAACTTGCGGCCATCTCTTAGAAACAACTGCCTGAGATAAATGTTTCATTTTACTACTGCAGTAGGACTGGCCCTATGTGTGATGACCTTGTTTGTATGTGCATTTTATCTCAGTCATGCCTTGGCAATGCTAGTCTTTTTCTTGGTTCCACAGTGTTGTCCTGATATTGTCCCCAGATTATGTCAGAAACAGTTTTAATTCATCATCAGATATACCAGTTTTATTCCAATATTTTACTCCCTAAATCAACACTAATTCATGTCAGCTTCAAGGAGTATAAAGTCTGCAAGTTTCAAACATTTATACTTCAAGGAGTATAAAAGTTGTCAGTTTCAATCACTCCCCCACTTGCCCCTCTGTGTCAGAGTACACCAAATTGGCAAGGTGTAATTAAAATGGTGGTATAATAATACTTAGAAGCAGAGATATTTCAGTAAAATTCCTTTGAGCCCAAACAGACATATTTGTAGAGATAATTTTTTATGCTGCATTTGCACGGGAAGAATGACTTGAAAATGTGATGATGTATGTCACAGTATTGTAAAATGGTCACATCCTTCTTCATTGATTGATTTATTCAATTTCTATAGCTGCCCAACTCAACCAAGTGACTCTTTATAGCCTTTGTCATTCAATTTCAATTTATTTAAAAATAGAAACAGATTTCTTAGCATGTGCAGATTAGAGTCTTTCTTGTGCTCTATATAGCAGCCTTAAAAAGTCATAACAAAATAATAAGACAAGTGTTTCTGTAAATATTAAGATGATTGTGTGACATTTGATAGCATTCTCAATTTTCTCTTAAGGCGGGTGTCAGTAACCAGTGGCTCCAGAGCCGCAAGCGGCTCTTTGACTCCTCTCCTGCAGCTCCCTGCTGACCCGGTTGTGCAACCTGCTCTGCCCCGAGACACTGGCCCACTCAGTCGTGCGACCTACTCTCCACCCCGAGAAGGCACGAGCCTCCACAGAGCCGCGCAGCTGAAATGCCCCTAGCATTTTCTCTGCACTGCCCATGATTGGCTGCTTTTTGTGATTCTGCATCCTTTGTGGGCAGCTCAGTACCAGCCACGGTCCCCTTTGTGTTGGCTAAGGAAGGAGGGGAATGAGGAGGAGCAGCCGCCACCACCACCAGATGCAGAGAGGAAAGAGCTCTGGCACTTCTGCACAGCACATCCAGCTATCCACCTAAGCATTTAGTGGCAGCAGTGGGAGGAGGAGTCACCATCATGATCTCAGCCCAGGAGGATATCTCGCTTATGTGCATGAGCACGCGTGAGAGAGAGAGATGAGAGAGAGAGAAAAGGGAAGGGAAAAAAAGAGAGAGAAATGAGAGAGAGTTGGAGGGTGAGAATGAGAGAGAGAGAAAAGAGAGGGAAACAAATGAGAGAGAAGGGGGGGAGAGAGGGAGAGAGAAAAGAGAAAACATGAAAAGGAGAGAGAGAAATGAGAGAGAAAAGGGTAGAAAAAGAAGAAGAAAGAAATGAGAAAATAGAGGGAGAGAATGAGAGAGAGGAAAAGAAACAAATGAGAGAGAGAAGGGGGAGAAGAAGGGAGAGGGAGGGAGAAATGAGAGAGCTGGAGGGAGAGAAAGAGAGGGAAAAGAGGGAAACAAATGAGGGAGAAGGGAAACCTGGGTAGGCGTGGCTGGGGAGGTCATGTAACTGGGCAGGAGTGATGTTGAGTTGGTCACGCCCACCCAGGTTTTGTGGCTCCCAGTGTTTTCTGTTGGAAACTGGTTCAAATGGCCCTTTGAGTGTTTAAGGTTGCAGACTCCTGTCCTAAGAGTTTAAAAAATCCTATTAATTTAATCCTGCAGTTTTAAAAGTAAAAACAGCCTTCCATTTATAGATAGTTGGTTTGAAGGAAAATAAATTAGGAAGACTATAAAGAAAGCTAGAGAAAACTTTCTTGTCAATGAGATTCTGTTAGATACCTAATGAAGGAAATTCTACAGGATGGAATATTTGGAATAAAAGCCAGGAAACTGGCAGATGGCTTACAGCATGGCTGTAAGTTATGTTATCTTTAATGAGTTTGCACAAAGTTTTCTGCCCCTCCTCCCCAAATATTCTATGTATTTGTTTTTAAAAAACAGCAAAAAGGGAATATAGTAAATAGGAAATAATATTGTTTCATGTTCATATAGCACTATTCAGTATCTTATGTATGTAATCTCAATAGGTACTCAGTACTCAGCTACTCAGTAGGAAAGCTACCAACATCTAGATGATACTAGGTGGATAGCCCTTTAGCTCTGTTCATTGATCACCTGACATGTATATCCCACCATAATGGCCTTTACCTTTTAGGATCAAAATTCTGCATTAGAGTGGTGTGGTACTTACAATTGTGGATTTTATTGGAATTTGAAATTAAACCAGCCTAATTTGTACTCTCTACCCTAAATACAAATTGGAAGATGGTTTACCTTTTTATATAACTCTTGTAATTATGAAAAATGCATGGTATGTGCTAAATGGTATAAAATATACCTTTAAAGAGCTTTTGAAAATAGTCTGATGTTAATTGTTCAAGAGCAAGAGGATTGCCTATTTCTGATATAAAAGATCACCCTAACCCTAATCCTTAGCCTTTGTTACCTGTACTTTTGTTTCACAATGAGTGTTGTATTCTTGTCTTACTACTGTTGTGAAGTGCAGCTGTTAACGGGACTGCTTAAAGAGTTAGTGGTGGCTTTGTTAGTTGCTATGAAATAAATTATAGAGCTGTTTCCAAGTGATTGATTTAAACTGGCACCATGAATGCTAGGTGGTGCTTTGAGAGAATACTTTAGGTTCAGTCTTCACTTGTTTGAATCAGCATTGATTACTGGCAATTGCCTGGGCAAGTCCCTGTCATTTTCTTGATAAGATTTCAGAAGTAGTTGGCAATTGCTTCCTTCATAGGGCTGAGAAAGAGTGACTGGCCCAAGGTTACCCAGTTGGCTTTGTGCCTATGGCAGATCTATAACTCACGGTCTCCCAATTACTGGCCTGATGTCTTAACTACTACAGCAAACTAGCTGCCTACTTGGTTCAGTCATAGACTCAGTTAAGAGTAGGGCCAGAACTGTCTTAGCTCAGGTCCTATAAGCAACAAAGTGGTGCTAATTACTAAAGACTTTATAAGAGCAGATAACCTTCCTGATGCAGTCAGAACTTGTCTGGAGTACTGTAGTATACTGTATATTGGGCTACCTTGGAAAAGCATTATGAAGCAACATCTAGTACAAAGTGCGGTAGTCTAGGCAATAATGACAGTTTCTTGTCATTGAACCCATTGCCTTGGGTACTGCATCGGTTGCCAGTTGGTTTCTAGGTGCAATTAAAAGCACTGATGGTTTTCTTTGAAGCCTTACATGGCTCCATATCTGGTTTTTCTCTTCTCAAGGATAATTCTATCCAGGTCTTATCTCTTTGAGAATGTCATGTGACAGGACCTAGAAGTGGATATTTCCAACTGCTGCTCCTATGCTTTTGGAGTTATATCACTCTCTTCGCTCTTGGGTTTTAGAAGACCAATTAATACCTTGCTTTTCCATCTAGTCCAAGAGAAAAGGATGTTAAGAAATTGGGTTGCATTGATAGAAACCTTATGTGGTCTGTTTTTTTTTTTGTCCCATTAAATGTTGTTGGGATTTTTAATTACTCTTTAGGGGGGTGAGTGGGTGTTTCTGAGGACTTTTAACTTTTTTTTTATAGTTAACTCTTCAGTTTTCAGGAATGGATGCTATTGACATATTGCAAAAAATAAATATATGAAAAAATTACTGCAGAAACTAAAAATGTTTCTTACAACCGTTGACAGAATACTTCTCTGGAAGTACAATAAAGAATGATGTTGTGGCAAGCATATAAGAATTAGTAAGAAGAAAGGAGAGGCAAACTGGATGAAAAACAACACTGTTACCATGAAGGAGTGACCTAACATAGCAATGAGCAATAATAAGTAGGTTAGCAAAACAAGTTGAGATCAAGTAGCAGCTGCATCTAGCTTTTCCCGGAAAGATATTTGTTCTTGAAATGTTTGTTCATCCACACACTTGTTAACCAGCAGCTGAAGCAAACCATAGAATTAGACTTATAAGTCTACCAAAAATTACTCAAATGGATGCGCACTAGAGTTCATATAATGGATTAAGCAAACAATTAAATTAAATTTTAACTGAGTGGAAATGCAGATCTTGATCCATGCAGGTTCATTTCTAGTTTATTTTAAAAAGCCTTACATAATAAAAATAGTATTTTTA